CACACTCTCACTGGCCCGGCAACACCCCTGTGAAGAATATACAAGCATACCAAGTTTATGAAGATGCATGTGGTAGCCCAATTTAAAACAGTCAAAATACTGTTTACCAACTGAAGAGATAAGCACAAGATAAAATGAAGCAATCATTTGTGTATGGTGTTGTTTGAGGTCCTTGACCTCTTTGACCAACAAGTGCAGGTTGTGCCTGCCACAGAAAAAACGTGTGCATTCAGCTTCGGGGCATTCAGACTTGCAGGAGCCCAGCCAAGGGATTCTGTACAAGGGTTAACAAGCCTAACAAAAACTCTCTAAAGGTGTCTGGATTTTGCTGATACAGGGATGGTTAATGGAAACAAAATTAAATTTAAAAACAGAACAGACTGGAATATAAACACTAATTCCCACTGCACAAAAGGCCATATATAATTTGGCGACCATATGTAATTTGCTCCCAGTCACAAAGATGCCAAGTGGTAGACTTGGGAATGGAATTCAGATGCACTGTGACAGGCCCAAGCCAGTTAACATGGGGGCTGGGGAATCAAAGAGGAACCATAAACCAGGATTTCATTGGGGAGACCCCACCAGCCTGTACCTGGGGTTTTCTCTGGTGAACTGTTCCACTGTGACAACAGCCCCTACTGAGAAAGCACTTTGCTATTCTATCATCCCTTCTGACCACAGGAGGGAAGGAAGATCTGGGGACCTGCCACCCACTCACATGTACTCCACAATTAACTCCACTTAGGAGTCCAGGTTAAATGTGAAAAATGAAACCACACATGAAGTGCCACATGAAGATATGAATTAATATTTACAGACGAGATCGATAAGGGATCTAAGCATAACACCAAATGTAGAAACCACAGTGGTTTGATTAACCTCAGAAAATCTTATGTATAACCTTTGAATATCCAAACTATAATAAGGAAAATTAAAAGACAATATACAAACTAGAAAAATATTTACATCAAATATAACAGGATTATTAATATTCTTAATATGTAAATTACTTTTAATAAACCACCAACAGGAAAATAAGCAATGAGTAGAACAAAGTCACACATGCTGCAAACAGCCAGTCAACAGACAAGATTTCACCACGGGCAAAGAACTCTCACACTCACAGATAAAGTAGGCCTGACCATCCAAATAGCAAAGGCTTTTATACCAGAATACCCATCTGAGCAAAAGGGGAAGAGTTGGCTTTCCTCATTAATGAGAACACTAATTTAGAAAATTCCTCCTTGGAGGGCAACTTAGTAATATGAACGTAAAGTTTTAAGAAGTTTGACACAGTCATTTTCTTCTAGAAATGTATGTATATCACAGATATAACAGATGTGGTAAAGACATCAGCTGGGGATTTAGCTCAGTGGTTCTGCCACTTGCTGTGCAAGCACAAGGACCCAAGTTCTATCCCCAGTCAAAAAAAAAAAAAAAAAAAA